AGTTGACAGTCTTGTGAAACTGAGACTTACTTTCAGAAATGATTTTAAATGCTAACATTCCACCTTTCAAAAATGACTTCTGCAGTTCTATCTCTAAGATAGATAAAGCTCTAGTTCTGAGTCCCTATACGTCAAGGACTATAATATAAATTCTGGCTCATCTTGGAAGATAGGAATAAGAACATTTTTGTGGGTATTTTTAATTAAACACAATTAAACATAATAAACCACTTTACAGTTATGGGTATAACAAATTTAAATGAGAGGCACTGGGGGTTACAGGGACAAGGACAACAAGATTTGAGCACAAATTGGTGGTGTAAAATTACTACAGTTGCTTCAAAAATCTATTTACATAGAATTAACCCATATAGTCAATTCTCAATTATGTAGGTCAGGTTATTCAAGACCTTTATTTCTGTTTTTCTCTTCCACTTAACTGCTTGTTAACTCATTTTCTATTGAAGAAAATCAATTTAAGATTTTATGATTTACTATAAACCCTGATAAATTAAAAAATGCCCCAACCATACTCCACATGCCATATCTCATGGAGTTCACTGAAACAAGCACTGTCAAGGACACAGCAAGGTACACCAGGAATCTCTGAATCTTCAGACAAGAATCCTTAAATAAAAGCTTCCTTGTACTGACAATACAGGCCCAGAACTGTTCACCTTTCTTTAGTTTTGAAAGGGGATTAGAAATTAAAATGCTACTGGCTTGTATGCTGATTCTGAGGAAAAAATGTTATGCAACAAATATAACATAGCTCAGAAGGGAGATTTTTTATTTTAGGAGTCACCTGGTTACAAAAACAAAATAAACTATGAACAATGGAATCTACTTAATTTTCTGTTTTACTGTTTGGACCAGAGATCTAGTCATCATTCACTAATGGACTAAACAATAAAAACAGAGTACATAATTCACTCAGATTCTTCACTGGATGTCCCAACTGACTGCATTAGAATATACCGCATCTGGAAAGTGAGTCTATAAATCCCCACTTAGGCAGTCAATAACATGTCAATTCAGACATTTTTATAAAAATATGAATTATAAATCTGTTAAAATGAGCTAGAACTAATGAAAGATACTGTGGAAAAAAAATTAGAACTAGACAGGTAAGGGGGTACATACAGGACTCCAAACTCTTTGTTCAATTTTTTTAAATAAATCTAAAACTATTCAAAAACAAAGTCTATACACTTTTAAAAAACAGAATGGAAAACAGAAATTAGGAACACAGAACAACATAGTAAAAGTGGGAACTATAATCTCTTGTTTAACTCTATTCGCCCACATGAAACTGCATCAACCAGTCTAGCATGGAGGGGGGGGGGATCTAATCCCCTTTTGTTCCTTTTTCCCCATCCTACCTGAAGTCATTTTCTGTGTCACTTATCAGGTAATGAAATACAGTTTTAAAACATCTGTTATAAGGTTGTTTTATCCTGATTACCCTGCAGATTGCCGTGTGATTAGTCACATAGTTACGTACTTTCTCCAAATAAAACACAAACAACTTCTGAGCAAAGGAAGGCATGTAACATAGTGCCTTTAACACAGCAGTGATAACAACATATATCTAGGTATTTGGGATTTATAGTTTATCAACTCTAAGTGTTCAATATTTGCCAGCTAACTGAAAGGTGATGGGCTATCAACTATTTATGAGGCCTCTAGGGGTTGGGATATGAAGGGCTTTCCTCTCTTTGTATGTTATATAATTTCCTTTTAGTGACTGGATTATAAATTTTTCCTTTCAATTTTGGGTTTTCCACTTAACATGGACGGCAATTTCACAAAAGACTATAGGCAGACAAGCGTATAAAAACATAAGTTAGCACACACAGAGAAAGAAGATGAGTGTGAAAAGACTGGTATTCCTTTTACTCTTCTCTTTCCCATTATGGTCTACATAGTATTATGGAATATGCTTGTATAATATTAGTGGCCTTTTGTAACCAAAGGAAGGACTCAAATTCTTAAAAGTTTAGGAAATTCCTAAATATTTACCCCTAACTAAAAATTCAAATCAGGGCCAGAAATGACAATGAAGGTGACACAGGCTGGTATCTATCAACATGAGTGTTATGTTGCTGGCATCCCATTAATCCTCCTACCAATAGATTTGCTGATCAGTACAGATGGCAGTAGTGGCTATGAAAGCTTTTTTCTAGTGAACAGTAACTCTTGTGTTCCTCTACCAAGAATTCAAAGGACTAAAAAAAGTCATGCCAATATCATCTCCTTTATCAATTACCAACTTAAGTTTCTGGGCATTCCATACTGTGGCTTTAGGACACTAAGGTGATTTTCGGAGACTCATCAAGAGATGCAGTTCTGGGAGCTCATTAATGACCTACTTATACTCTAACCCCCTGAGGCAGTTTTGGAGGTTCAAATGTCACAGGAAATTGCTTCACAAGCCAATGGCTGTCACACCTTGCTCTATGGCACACCTATTAGAAGTATTAGACATACCTCCATATGTCTAGCCATTATCAATCAACAAACAGGCCAGCCGGGAAAATAGCCAAAAACCTTCTGTTGGAAAGTTCAAGGTAGGCAGGTACTCACTCTGGTTTAGCACTTAATAAAGTATGTTTGGGGCAATAAAAATAATACACCAAAAGTCATCAAAGGGCTATGAATGTTACTGGATTTGTGACAACTTTTAATAACATCATTATTACATTTTCTAAAACCCAAAGCAGAAGAGCTCATAGTTTTAGAGTTGGATCTGCTACTTGCATTCTCAATCCATTTCCCTCCTTCCTGCTCTCATACATGCTCATTCCTCAAAACAGATCCTTAGTTTCTTCCAAGTACCTCCAAAGATAATCCAAACACAATTTTGGATAATCCAGGCACTGTCTATCTTCAGCTTAAAATACTATATTCTCTGTTTTCCTCTCAATCCCAGCTTTAGGTCACCCCAACATCCTCTTTAACTATGTTACTACTATGCTCAAAATACTGAGTTGTTGCCTAAATTCTTTTACGCCTACTCTAAACACTGGAAAGACCTTAAAAACTGAGTTGTACGCCTGAACTCCCCCTCTTCCAATACACAAGTCATATCCACAAGCCACCTCACCAAATCCAAGTTCAAGCTCCTGATGTTTGAAAGCCCCTGGAGCCACCCTACAAACACAGAGCTCCCAACTCTGCCCTATCAACTCCATCCATTGGATAAATACTTATTGGAGTACTACACCACGTGTAAAAGGCCAGGAGAGCCATGCTCTTCCTTCGGAGGAAGCTGTTCATCTCTCCTACATGTTCATATGCTTTCTATTCCTCATGTAGTCCTTTCACCAACTCATGTGAACACTGTTTCTTTTCTCAGACTAAAGCCTTCTCTCAATGCTTTAATTCTTAATAACATCTCTATATTCACCTAACTGCCCGCCTCATTATCATTTCTTAACCTGATTTGGATCTCAAACATCCACTGAACAGTATTTTTCTAATTATGGGCTGACAGTCGCTGACAGTGGTCTGTAGTTCCCCACTCACATTCTGACATAGATTTAAGTGTGTGTATTACCTTTGAGCAGTGATTCTCAAGCTTTATATGAATCAGAATCACCTGAAAAAGTTGTAAATAGATGGTTTGCTGGGCTAACGGATTTGCATTTCTAAAAAGTTCCCAGGTGATACTCGTGCTGCTGGTCTAGGGACCACACTTTGGAAATCACTGCCTTTGAGAGTCCGATGAAAGGTATGAAAAAATGCACAATATGTACATAACTTTGCATGTGATTTCAAGGGCTCATGATGAATGCTCATTCAAAGATATTCTCTGCTCTATATTCTGTTCTAAGGAACGTTCAAGATACAGCTGTTTCCTGACCTGACGGGATGAGCTTGTTTGTGGTACAGGGAAATTCGGTCTGCGCAAACACTTCCTAAGAACGAAATGGGATTGCCTGGTGTATTGGAAAGTCAGTTCTGTCCAATGGACTGCCTTTTTCAGTCTCATGTGGCTCTTTCACAGATATGTGATAATTTTTCTATACTTCTAGCTTAATTCTCAGAAACAAAAGATTCATCACTTAGAATTCAAAAGGATCTTTGGAATGCCTCAAAAGAAACCCTTTAGGTGAGGAAATGGTCTCGTACAAAGAACATGAACACTGGCTTAAGACAGAACTAGACTGAAATCTTGCCGTTCCTAAAGGTGTGACCACTAAGCTTCAACTTCTTCATTTATAAAACTGGTGCTCTTCGATGAAAACAATTTTGTTCTCTTCCAGGCAAAATTTACGTGAACCCACTAGAGGGAATGAAAGAGGGAGTGGTTCTACTACTTAAAACCAATGATTCTTATTTATGGTAAGGAATTTAAATGTTGGATACAGAGTAAACGTTTCAATTAAGAAAACAAGAAGACTGAACTGAGTAATTTCTAATATGCCTCAAATCTAACATTTATTTATGAATTCTAACTGGCCAGCATATCATTCACTTATATTTTCTATTTATGCTAAACTAGTAATTTATTCTTCAATTTATCCCAGTATAAATGCCTTAAAAAACAATGATACTTTCTCGTATTTACCCTTTCTTTCTCTACTACCCTTCCCTCTATAGTGTCTAGCATTCAAACATCCACTAGAAAATGAAATATAAATAACAATCGTAATAAATTATTCTCCTTCCCTTAAATAGGTCATGTAAAAGATACCTTATCAACACAGAAAAACCTTCTTGAAGAAGTTTTCCTTTGTATTTCCTCAACCGATAGCCAAAATCCATTAAATTCATCTTTATTCAATAAGATCTCTTAGGACTTGGCTATTATAGATATAGCTCAATTGTGTATGTTTTATTTTTTAAAGATCTATCCTATATTATTTTCTCAATCTACAAGCCTATTAGTTTATTGCAGAATACTCTTAAGTATCAGTGAATGTGCAACAATGTCTATCAAAATTACCACTGATCTATAAATCGTCTAAGCATCAAGCAATTTCAATTAAACATACCTCTTGTAGAAGACGTGGATCCAGGCAGTCACCATCATCATTAAACATAGACTCCCAGCTCTCCTCAGTCGCAGTACTTCCCTCTGTGTGAGAAGTTTCAGTTGCTTTCGGTTCGATGGATGTTTCCATAGATAATGATTCCCTATTAGGAGTAGATATACCAAATTCTATACCCTCTGAGTCATCTTGCTCTTTTGTTTTGAACTTTTCAGCAGTTCTTACTTCATGCAATGCTTCTGTTGTATCACCAGTACTACCCAGATCACTGCCCATGGCACTGTCGGAAAGTACTTTTGTCCCATTTAACATACTGAGTTCAGAGTCCAAAAAACTGTTATAATTACTACCAGCAATCTTTTTTATAGGTAAGGAGGAAGCACAATCTGACAAGCTCTCTATCAACTTTCCTGTTGACTCTGTAAAACGAGATGAAATACTCTCAGCATAAATATCTGAGCAAGCAGTTAGGTTGCTGAAATTTTCAGTATGATTCCCACTTCTAGCTACATGAAGAGGGGTTGCATCTGCACTCATTCCTATAAACTTTGAGAAATTCTGGTTATTATTAGAGGTCTCATCAGCTATTCTAACTGCAACTACATAAGGGATGTCAACAGTTACATGATCACTACAGGACATACCTGTAGTGTCCATCATACATGCTTTATTGGTAATGTCAGCTACATTCTTAAATCCATTGTCTCTAGGTGTTTCATGAGCAAGGACAACCGTATCAGGAGGTTCGTGCTTCACATTTAACTCATCAGCAGTGCTGTCATTCTTCTCACATTCTCTAATCACTACTGGACTAACAGTGTCATTCGTGCTCTCTAATTTGCTGACTGTAATCATTTTATGAGAGACATGACCTCTAGTTTCAGAAATGGAATCTGTATCTTTCTGATCTAAGATGAAACCTGTACTACTGGGTATACCACCTACATTCTCAGCTTCAAAATCTATGCAAGTTTGATCAAAGACACCATCTGGACTTTGGGGAACAGAAGTAGTAGTGATGCCTCCACTGCTGGGCTTCAATATTCCATCTGACGTTTGCATGCCTTGTTGTACAATTCCAGAATCAGTGCTTAGTTTAGTTGGTGCAATCATATCCTCAGGTTTCATTACAGAACTAAAAACTCTAGGAAACTCAGACAGTATCTCCAACACCTTGGCATTGGTTTCAATTCTGCTTTCCAAATCTTTGTCTTCAAACGTTTCCCCATCAGGTTCATGCCTATCGAAGTCATAGAATTCCACATTCTGGAATGGTTTGCTTGGAAACTGAGCCTCACTGATTTCTGAACAGGCCTGTGATAGAAGTATACTCCCATGCCCTGTCCCATCTGTAGTTTCAACTTCCAAACACTCCCCCGTCTTTGGTTTAAAATGTCTCTGTAAAGATGCATGAGGTATAACCCCAGCATTTGGGGCTCCCTGCTGATGTCCTTGGGATAATACTTCTTTGGATTCAGTGGTTCCTCTCTTAGAACAAATGCTATTTGTTTTTTGAAGGCATGTATCCTTTCTTAATTTTGTTGAAGATTTCCTTCCTTCTCTACAGTTATGCTCCTTTCTGTCAGGATTGACACTTAGTCTTGGAGCCTCTGGTTTGTCTCTAAAGACTTCTTTTTGGGAGAGAGAACTTTCTTTCTGCTTTTCTTTCACCACAGAGTTAGGTGAACCACAGCTTTCCTCTTCATCACCTGTCTTAAGGAGTACTGCACCCCTTCGAGCTTTTGGTACGTAAAGTGCCATGTCAGGCCTTCTGGCTCGAACTCTGCATCTCTCTGCTTCTTGCTGCATGGCACCACCACAATCTGCAAGAGAACGATTTAATTATCAGACACTAATTACAATGTATTGAGACAAAAGATTTCCATTTTTGTTTTTGAGACAGAGTCTCACTCTGTCACCCAGGCTGGAGTGCTGTGGCGCCATCTCAGCTCACTATAACCTCTGCTCTCCGAGGCGCAAGTGATCCTTCCACCTTTGCCTCCTGAGTAGCTGGGACCACAGACACATGCCATCATGCCTGGCTCTGTTTTTTTTGTTTTGGGCTTTTTTGTATTTCTGGTAGAGACAGAGTTTCACCCTGTTGCCTAGGCTGGTCTCAGGCCCAGACTGAGCTGAAGGCAATCTACCCTCCTCAGCCTTCCAAAGTGCTGGGATTACAGGCATTAGCCACTGTGCTCAGTTTTTTATTTTATTTTTTATTGTCCAACATAAATATATACACACATAAAATGATTTTAAGAGTAACCTAGAATGTTGTCTAAAAAAATGAAATGACTTTTCAGAGAATGCTTTCTAGAAGATGTTGCTTTTGATCTAAGATTTTTTCAGAAAAGAGAAAGTAGTGAAAAAGAGAAAAGTATTATTCTACTAATACCACTTAGTCAAGTGACTTACTATGAATTTTCCTTGCTTCCAGCAGTAGTAAAACAGATATGGGTAGGATAAAGAAGGGTAGAAGACCAAGGAAATTGTGACGAGGCAATTCACTCTAGTAACTAACTTCCTGACAACCTCCATCATGGTTGCTCAATGGAATTTAACAAGAAGAAATTTAACAAAAGTTAAACCTTTACTATCTACTAAATACAAGAAAATGTGCTAGGGGAATTTCATATTGAGTTATTTTTTATTATTATTACTATTATTTGCAGACAAGAGTTTCGCTCTTGTTGCCCAGGCTGGAGTGCAATGGAGTGATCTTGGCTCACTACAACCTCCACCTCCCAGGTTCAAGTGAATTCTCCTGCTTCAGCCTCCCGAGTAGCTGGGATTACAGGCATGTGCTACCACGCCTGGCTAATTTTGTATTTTTAGTAGAGACAAGGTTTCTCCATGTTGGTGAGGCTGGTCTCGAACTCCCAACATCAGGTGATCCACCCGTCTCAGCCTCCCAAAGTGCTGGGGTTACAGTTACAGGAGTGGGCCACCATGCCCAGCCCAAGTTATTCTTTTAATTTTCAAAATAATGCAATGAAATAGGGACACATTTATCCAGGGCAAAAAGAATCAGGAGGTTCTATACACAACAGAGAAACACCCACATACATGCAGATGCACTCACTGTTAATATTTCACAACATACACTTCAAAAGAAGGAGATAATGAGAAAGCAGAGAGGAAAAAAGGCTAACGAATCCTGTCCACTCCATTCCAGATCCCTAAAACTTCACCTGATCCAGAATATTTCCTCAGTGAAAAAGCTCTATTTTCATGGCACAGGTTATTTTCCTTTCAGTCCAAGTAACACCATGGCCTTGATCATCAAGCATCTCCAGGGATGATTTTCTTCCTTTTCTCTTTTTATATCTTAGTTAATATCTAGTCCAGTGTCCTTCATGTATTTTATATCTTCCATTTGTGGAATAATATGACCTTAACATTTAGTCATGCCAGGATTTTTCAAAAAATACCTAATTTTCAAAGACAGAGGAACTAAATTGTGTTTCATAGGAAGGGATACCAGAGACATAGTACATCTTGACTACAGTAAGTAAAACAGCTGACAAAATATATCATAATGAACTTCTGGATAAAAAATGATGAAATGGGGATTACTTAGTAGAACTGATAAATGGACTCATAAAAGATTAAGCAACAAAAAATAATAATATCGGGTGGAGATGAATTTAGAGATTATTTAAAGGAGGATTACATAGCCCTTTGGAATTCAACATTTTATAGAATAATTTAGATGTAAACTATAAATATTGAGTGCTTATCAAACCTGCAACTGACACAAAACTGATAGAATACCAAAAATTATAAAATTAAAATTCAAAATCATTTCTATAATCTGAAATGCTGTGCTGAAAGCAATATGAAAGTATAAAAGAGTAAATACAAGGATGTTTAGGAGTTTTTTTTTTTAAAGAATCAAACAAAAGGCAGATGACATGACTTCTGTACAATTTGCACAAAGAAAAATCTAAAGGCTTTTATTTCATTCACAAGGTCAATAAAAGCCCCAAAATCGTGACGTGACGTTTAAAAAGGCAACACACTCATAGAGTCTAGAAAATATGTCACACAATGTAGAGCTAAAAGAACTAAAGGTATAACTCTTGCCCAAAGAATTCTAAATGAAAAACCATGGCTACCTTTATACCTGAAAGATTGGTTGCTCTATAAAAGAGACAAAATTTCTTGTCTATGTTTCTATGTTTCTCCAGAAGTCAGTACTAGAATCAGTTGTCAGAAATTAAAGGAAAACAAAATTTAGCTAAATGTAAGAAAGAACTCTACTTCTAGAGTTTCTCCAATGTTATTATCAGGAAATGTGCTCTGTCTTTAGAAGAATTTAGATAAAGGCTGGATGACTGACATATACTAGAGAAACCCTAAATTCTATGATTCTATTTCTAATCTGCAACAGACCTATCAAAGGCTTCAAATTTTCTACTTTAAAATTATTATGTGCCAACGTTAATGACTTTTAAAATTCAACCTTTTTTCTTAATGCTCACATAACAGTCATGATACTATTTCCTAAAGGGGAAAATCAGCGTAATAAATTTATATTATCTATTTCCTACCAAAGCAATGATTTTGACTGTGCCATGACCAGCAACAGTGTGCTGGCAAATATTCAGCAATCAGCTTTCCAAGTGTACTTCATAGTATTACTTGATGTTTTTCTTTATGTCATTGATGTCAACGATGTGAGTGACTTCTTAGTTGAACAATTTTTTAATAATGGAAGAATATATACTTTTTTGTTACAATAGCTAAAGACATGATACATTTCATTAGCAGCATTTTCTCCATCACTTTAAGTCTAGACAATCAAGAAATAATAAATCAAACCCTATTTATGGCATTTGGCAATCCCTGTAGTGTAAATATTCTTGCCATAGCTAATTTCTAGTTATCACTGTGACATCACCAAAGTTGGCAAAAAGTGTACAAAAAGCACACCATTATAGTATTTCAACCAGAGGTACGATATACATAAATAACTTCAAAAGTACAGATCATAATAAAATGTAGTAAAATAATTAGGAACTGATGAGTGTGAAGTTAGTTATTAGCTTTGTAAAACTGTACTTTTAATAGTAAGCATATGTACCTTAATTTTTAATAATAGCTGTGTTTAATAATCAGTTTGCAGAATTCCAAAAATTTTGACAGTCAGCTCTCAGGCCAGTGGCAGACACTCCAATCCACCACTATGCCCATTCTTTCATAACTCACAGACACAAAAAAGGAGGAGCATCTCCATCTTACGGACTGTCAAGATACCGTAGTCCCCGCTCTTATCTGCAGAGGATATGTACCAAGATCCCCAATGGAGGCCTGGACCGTGGATAGTACCAAACTCCATATATACTGTCTTTTACTACACATACATACCTATGATAAATTTTAATTTATAAATTAGGCAGAGAAAGATATGAACAATAATTAATAATTAATAGAACAAGTATAACAATATATAATATTGTTACATAAAATATATAAATTTACATATATATTTTATGTAACAATATTACATGAGTATGGTCTCTCAAAGTATCTTATAGTATGTAATATTTTCATACCGTGGATGATCATAGGAACTGAAACCATGGAAAGCAAAACTGTGGAAAAAAGGAGAACACTATATTGTCAATTTAATTTAAAGCCTTGTTGCATTTTTATGAATTTCTTTTGCAACTATAGGCATGTAAGGCTTTTCACACTGGGAGTGGGGCTGCCTGCCATACACAATTTTTTAAAATGTGCCTTGGATTAAAATTTTCCCACCATGCTATTTACTAATAGCCCTTGATATTTTCTCTCTCTTTTTTTCTTTTTCAGACAGAGTTTTGCTCTTGTTGCCCAGTCTGGAGTGCAATGGCGGGATCTCAGCTAACCACAACCTCCACCTCCTGGGTTCAAGCGATTCTCCTGCCTCAGCGTCCTGAGTAGCTGGGATAACAGGTATGTGTTACCACATCCAACTAATTTTGTATTTTTAGTAGAGATGGGGTTTCTCCATGTTGGTCATGCTGGTCTCGAACTCCTGACGTCAAGTGATCCACCCACTCGGCCTCCCAAAGTGCTAGGATTACAGGTGCAAGCCACCATGCCTGGCTGATAATTTCTCTTTATTAACAGTTTTAACTTTTCCACAATTTTCTAAGTGCTTTGTATTCATCTACTTTCCTTCTTAACTGGATAGAATCCATTATTTGGGGGTGCATTTTGCAGCTTATTTAGCCTTAAAGGGCCATCAGCATGCACTTCTATTCAAAAATCACACTTTCTAAAGGGAATAAAAATTCAGATTCCTTCATAGTGGAGGTCAGTCAATTACTAACACATGTCTTTTAAATATTTTAGGCCAAATCATTTTTTTCTATATTATACTTTTGAACATTGGGATCACACCTGAGCACCTGTCCAATTGCTTCTACAGTTTCCAAGGCTCCCTGAGAGAAAATACTGGTAACTTCCTTTAAGTACCTCTCTAATCCATCTTCATGAGAAACTGAACAAGCACAGCATAAATCAAGCTTTTATATTTTCACAACAGAACATCAACGCTATTTGTCCCATATTTGGTATCTAAAACATATGGATCCCTCTTCATTCAACAACTGAGTATTGGCACTTAAGGCACTCACTGTGGTAATTCAACTATGAATTGATTTAATCCAGTATTTACCAAAGGCTCACATGAGACATCTGATATTTGAGAGAAACTGCCTAATGGGCATACTAACTATTCATTCTTCCAGAACAAATTCTGTTAGTTCATCAGGATGCACCATAGCTAAAGTATACATATTGTCTTAAAATTTTATTTGGGAATAATTTCATA